GTTTTAACTACTCAGTGAGAGAATACATGCAGAATGCACCGCATGGCCCCTAACGGTACAGGGCACACCCAGTGAGTGGTGCCGCTCTCCTCTCTGCTCCCACTTGAGCTGCTTGCATTTCATGCAGAGGCCTTTAGACATCAAAAACCTCTTTTAAGTTTTACTCAACGGCACCCACACGCAGTTTGGGGGAAGCAGCTATACTTCAGAGAGCCGGGGGGATTTTTTTTTATAAGTAGATGGCAAACATACAGGCACCTGCTGGCAGCAGACCCCTACCCCTAGAGCCAGGAAGTGGAATAATGTCTCGTGGGCCTTTCTGATGGTCTCAATCTCTGCACCAGGGGGATGAAAGAATGCATTTGCCGAGCCCGACCGATTCCAATTTTTACCGAGCCCTGATGGACGAAGAGGACATGGAAGACGTGGTGGACGCTGACGAGTACCTCATCCCCCAGCAGGGCTTCTTCAGCAGCCCCTCCACATCGCGGACCCCCCTCCTCAGCTCTCTGGTACGAAACTTCCCTCTCTCTCCCTCAAGCTGTGTCCAGTTTGAACAAATTGAGTTTTGGAGAAAATGACAACCATGTAGTGGAACTCACATAGAGACAAAGAAGTAAATTTTGGCCAAATCATAAAGCCAGAATCAGAATGAATCAAGTGAATGAAGCATTTTATTGTAGTGCAATAATTTGATTATAATCCTTTTAGTTCTGGTAAGGAACAAAATTAAATTAAAATTAAACCTAGTTTATCTAGAGGTAATGATTTTGGACAAAAAACAAGCACCTTCAAATACATCCACTCCACGAGACCCACCTGCTGCATTTGGTGGGGTGGGGGAGAACGTACGAGCCTACCACGAGAACTTCTCTGTTTCTTTTTCAGAGCGCGACCAGTAACAATTCCACGGTGGCATGCATTGATAGAAATGGGGTATGTATGAACACCTTGTAAACTAGAATTGAATAACAGTTCTGTATCGTGGCTCTATTGTACACAGAAAATGTCCAACTTAACCCAAATAATCTTGATTTTTCTTCCTGTATGGTTTTTTCCCTGGGTGGTTTCTTTGATCCCACCCTAAGGCCAGCAATTAACTGCCACACATCTCAGTGCCATTCAGAGTGTGGTTCACAGACCAGCAGCATCAGCATTGCCTGGCACCTTGTTAGATATGCACATTCTCGGGCCTCTACCCCAGACCTGCCAGACCAGAATCCCTGGGGTTGAAGGCCAAAAATCTGGGTTTGAACCTGCCTCCCCCAACTGATGCTGATGCGTGATCAAGCTTGAAGCCACACTGCAGTACAGAAGCCACTAGCCACATGAGGTTACTTAAATTTTAATTAAAATGATATAAAATATAAAATTCACTTCCTCACACATTTGAAGCGTCCAACACCCACAAGTGGCCAGTGGCCACCATACTGAAGAGCACAGATATAGAGCATCTCTGTCATGCAGAGAACTGTGCAGGTCAGGACTGCTGGCTGGGGCCCTGCTGCCTGCCCGTGGTCTGCAGCCAGCAGCACAGGCCTCATCTGGGGCCTTTTCAGAAAAGTAGACTCTCGGGCCTCACCTCAGACCTACTAGATTAGAATCTCTAGTTTAAAACGATCTCAGGTGGCTTTCATACACATTGAAGTTTGAGCAGCCCTGATGAGAATAACCCTGCCTAATTTCCTCCTCAGCAGAGCTGTCCTGCCAAGGAAGACAGCTTCTTGCAGCGGTACAGCTCAGACCCCACTGGCGCCCTGAGTGAGGACAGCATAGACGACTCTTTCCTCCCGGTGCCCGGTGAGTAGCTCACTCCGGGCACAGTTGTGCTCCTCAGCTTCCCGGCCCCAAGTGGCAGCGGCTGTGCTGCATTCCCGAGTCCCCAAGTCAGCTGAACCTGAGGTAGAGACTGGCAAACCCATAGGTATGGTGAAGGAGTAAGAGGCAGGCAGATGTAGAACCACTGAGCAGCACAAGGTCTTGTGTTGAGCTCAAGCTATGTCTAGGTGGTTTGCTGTAGGTTTGTTTTAGGAATGCATTTACAGATTTTATAGAATTTGGAGCAAACAGCAAAGATATACATGTACATGTGTGTATGTATATGTACACAACAGATTCGGTAGCTGTTCTCTCTCCTGGCTCCATTCCTGTCCTATGAAACATGTGTTTTCCTAATCTAAGCTTTACCCCCAGATGCTCCCAACCTGCTCACTCTCTCATGCGCACACCTTCGAGGCAGGCTGTGCTCTGAGAACTTTAAATGTGCAAAAGATGCCTGTGCCCCTTGCTTTGAGAAGTGCAGAAGAGGACACAACTTACTCTGCCGCAACAGCACGAGGGTCTTCTCCCAGGGCTATCCCCCACCCCCATCATCACTTGCCTCGTTCAAGACACTTGCAGGGTTAAAATGAGCCACGGGATCCTGCTCGAGACGAGGCTTGCTGCTTACCACACCTCTGATTTCTTTTCCATTTCA